AATTTCTGGCTGTTCCCTCTCAAATGTCCTGGTGCAACCAGTTTTCAATTATCTTCAGCAAAATTTTACTTGCATGTGATATTAATCATATTATTTGACAATTTGCACATTCTATTAGATCACCCTTCTTTGGAATGGGCACAAATATGGATCTCTTCCAGTCTATTGTCCAGGGAGCTGCTTCCCAATTTTTTTTTTTTTTTTTGACATATACAAGTAAACACTTCCAGCATTGTGTCTCTTTGTTGAAATAAGTTGTGGGGTGATATCCAGGACATCATACATGAAAAAAACAAAAGGTCATCAAGAAGATAGGAAACAAAGAAAAGACCCAAATGGATGTCAGAAGAGATTCAGAAACTTGTTATCAAACATAGAGCGTCTAAGGAGATTGGAAGAAATGATGAAGTTAAGGAGCTTAGCAGAAGATTTCAAAAGGTGGCTTGAGAAGACAAAGTGTTCAGTCAATTCCTGGAGCCGGGTTTTTGCCAATGCTTTCAGTGCAGCTTGGCTATCTTTTTTTAGGTTTTGATGGTATTGAAAAATACCCCCTAAAATGACTGAATGTCAACCAGTCATTTTTGTCACAGTGACTGTGTATTCCTTTAATATTCTTTTGATGCTTCCTGTGTCATTCAATACTTTGCCCATAGAATCCTTCAGTGTTGCAATTGAAAACTTGAATTATTTCTTCAGTTCTTTCCGTTTGAGAAATGTTGAGCATATTCTTCCCTTTTGGTTTTATATCTCCAGTTCTTTGCACATTTCATTGTAATACTTTACTTTGTCTTCTCAAGCTGCCTTTCCATTCCACAGTTGGCCCCTGGCTTTGTTGTGATTGATGATATTGAACTTCTCCATTGTCTCTTTTCACAGATGTAGTCTATTTAATGCCTGTGTATTACATCCAGTGAGGTCCATTTATGTTGTTGAAAAAAAGTCTTTCAAAATTCTATTGTGTGATCTCCAGTGTCTTTTCTATCACCAAGGCCACATTTTTCAGCTACTGAAACTTCTTTATTTCCAACTTTCAAATTCCTATCACCAGTAATTATCAAAGCAACTTGATTGCATGCTTGATTAATTTTAGACTGCAGAAGTTGGTAAAAATCTTCATAATCTTTATGTTTGACATTAGTGGTTGATATGTACTTTTCATAATAGTAATATTAACTGGTTTTACTTATAAGTGTGTAGATATTATCCTATCTCTAATAACATTGTGCTTTAGATCTTGAAATGTTCTTTTTGATGTTGAATATGATGCCATTCCTTTTCAATTTGTCATTCTTGGCATAGGAGACCATAGATTATTTGATTTAAAAATGACCAATACTAGTTCATTTCAGCTCACTAGTGCCTGGAATGTTGATCTTTATGCATTCCATTACATTTTTTATGACTTCCAATTTTCCTAGATTGATATTTTGTCCATTCTACATTCCAATTATTAATGGATATTTGCAGCTGTTTCTTCACATTTTGAGTCATGCCACATCAGCAAATGAAGGTCCTGAAAGCTTTACTCCATCCACATCACTGAGATCAATTCAACTTTGAGGAGACAGCTCTTCCCCAGCCATATTTTGAGTAACTTCCAACCTGACAGGCTCATCTTCCAGCACTATATCAGACAATATTCTGATGCTATTCATAAGGTTTCACTGGCCAATTTTTTTAGAAGTAGGTGGCCATGTCCTTCTTCCTAATTTGTCATAGTCTGTAAGCTCCACTGAAGCATGTCCACGATGGGTGACCCTGCTGTTATTTGAAATACCAGTGGCATAGATTCCAGCATCACAGCAACATGCAAGCTACCACAGTATGACAAACTGACAGATAATCTTTTTTTTTTTTTTTTTCCCAGAGACCTATATGATGTAGGGCCCAGAAGCCCCAGCAGGTGTCCACAATCTTCATGAAAATAGAATCTGTTACTGTTTTATTCACCACCATATCACCAGTGCTTAGCATAGTACATTACATAAAGGAAGATTATTGAATGCATGAATGAATTGAAGAAAATTTTTCAAAGATTGTTCTATGTCTTAAGATATACCAATTGACTTATGGTATACCAAGAAAGACAAGCAAATAAACTCATGTGACCATAGTCAATTATTTAACTTTCAATGCCTCAGTTTCCTCATCTGTAAAATGCAGAGAATAGAGGTTTTCTAGTAGGTTGGAGGTGATGGTTGTTAGCATCTATATAGTAGGGACAGATAGATAGATGTTTTGGTCCTCTAGTGCCTCTCTAACAAAAAATACCACAAGTGGATGACTTTAAACAAACAGAAGTTTATTCTCTTACAGTTTAGGAGGATAGAAGTCTGAGTTCAAAGTGCCAGGTCTAGGTGTTGGGTGAAAGCCCCTCACCCTTGGGCTTCAGCTCTGCCTCTTGCTCCCAGCCTACTGAAGTTGGAGGCTTCTCTTACTCAGGTAGCTGCTGGCTGCTGTGCTGACAAACCCAAGGTCAACAAGTAAAATGGCATGGTCCCAAGATTATCAAACAATATGGCAGGCCACTAGTTAAATAGTCCCAAGATCAGAAGACAACATGACAGACCACTGATAAGTTGGCCAAATGCAGGACCCGGATGGGCCAAGAAGCTAGAGACCATCCTTAAAGCTACTTCTTACATACTGGAAGAAGACACATCCCTAAGGCAGCTACTCAGCTGCTCCAGTAGATTCCACTATGGAGTTGATTATGAGTCTCATCATGGGGAATAACAACATCCAACTGCCCAGCCACTCAAAACCAGGCCCAGCCAAGTTGACACACAACTACCACAATAGATAAGTAGATGAGTGATATGTGTATATCTATATTTTTCCTTAGAACAGAGTCTAGCAGTTTGTTAGTGTTGTGTAGGTATTTGCCATTATTATGAAGACAGAGAAAGTATAACTAGCTATGAAATTGCTTAATAGAATAATTTAATTTTATCTAGGGGATGAAAAATTTTCACACACTAATCAATGTTTCAGTCTCATAAATGAAGATTTGATAAAAGGTAGGCAATCAAAATCAAGGGGAGAATTCTGGATAAGTGAAACAGAATGTGTAAAATTTGAGACAGGAGGGAACACAGTATTTTTCGAGAGACTACGAGAAATCCATTTTGGCTGGAGCTAAGTGTGAAGGAAAGAAGTAGGGGCAAAAGATTAAGTTATAGCAGTAGACAGAGGCCAAGGGTAGAATACAAACCAAACAGTGTTTATGTTGTTGCAAACTGTAAGATAGATACGCTAACCACAAGAGATGTTTTGTGAAATAGTAATAGAGACATATTTTCAGAATTGTTGTGTGAGTGATATGTATAATATTTTAGAGAAACTTCAGTGAGTTTTAAATAGAATCAGTTTGTCATTCTGGTTTGTTTCTAGCATTTATAAATTAAAAAAGTAATCAAATAATGAACCATAAACTGCTGACGATTATATATGTCCTGAAGTACAGAGATTATTCATGAGTTGGCATTTTCTTGTTTGTTTGTGTTCATTCATATTTGTTAAATAATAAAGTGAAAATGGAGAGAGAATAGCTAAAGTGACTGCATATACACACACATCCCTTAACCCATGGCCATCGAGTCATTTCTGACTCACAGCGACCCTGTAGGACAGAGTAGAACTGCCCCATAGGGTTTCAAGGCTGTAAATCTTTACAAAGGCAAACTGCCTCATCTTTCTCCCAAGGAGCAACTGGTGGGTTTGAATTGCTGGCCTTTTGTTTAACAGCTGAGCACTTTAACCACTTGCCAACAGGGATTCTGTATATACCTTACCTTAACCACTAAAACCAAACTCACCACCGTCAAGTTGGATTGACTCATAATGACCCCTCCTTGGGTTTCTGAGACGGTATCACTACAGAAATAGATTGCCCAACTTTCCTTCCAATAGGAAGCAATATTTCAGAGTAGTGACATTGAAAGATATGACATATGCTTAATTAATTATTGCTTATAATTTCAAAACATAGCTACCCAACAAGCTGTTTATTTTGTGGGCTGAGTGATAACTGAATATCTGATAGATGGTTGAGAGTAAACGTACTATTTTTTTTTTTTTTTCAATTTCTCTCTTTTAAAACATCTTTCTTATGAAAACACCTACACCTTCCTGTTTCACAGCTGTAAACTATAAATATTAGTGCCCTGAGAGACAGGCATACTCAGAAGTTTTGGTTCAAATTAATGCTTTAAAGAATGATGACAACTGCATGATTTCCTTATTTGTTTTTTAATAAAGAGTCTTTCATAGATGGTCTTTTCTAAATACAAAATGCATTTTCCTAAAATGACACTTATTTACTTAGTAAATAAGCTGTATGAGAGAATCCACTAATCTAATGTCTTACTTTCTAAAGAAAACACGCTTCTAAAGTCAAAATAACAAGCATAAAGTCAATCCTTGGGAGAAACACAGTATCTGATTTTAAATGTCTCCAATGTGCAAATTAAGTAATATCTCCTTGAAAAACAGTGTCTTCTTAGAAAATTTTCCAATAGAATCACAAGAGGCAAATTCCAGTTGAGAAAGTGCATGCTGTATTGCTAATAAGACAGAGATGCGAAGCTGAGCACATAGAATCCTTATTTAAAAAGTACAATCAGAAGAGAGAGTTTTTACGATGAGGGGGCTGGGGAGATAAATAAAAACAGCCAAAATTTCAGTGTGAATAATTTGATTTGTGGCCAAGGAACTCCACTCTTGGTATAGTTCAGAAGAGAATCTAATCGAAAAGCTATGCATCTGTACAGAGGACCGAGTAGATCTGAGAGATTTGCAGATCCACCGTTTTTTAGGCAGGAAGATTGCTCGTTAAATGCAGAACGCTGCTCTGGCTCATGTGTTTGCTCCGAGGTGTAGGTTTTGTTCGATTGACGTATCAGATAGTCAGAGTGGTTACCACACCGACGTTGTAGCAGCTGCATAATAAATGACTGAGAGAATCATGTTAGGCATGCCCACCTAACCTAACTTGAATCATGCGAAAGGGGAGCTGTTGGAATTCAAATAGACTTTCTGGTTCCCAGCAGTCGGCAGTAATAGAATGCTTTCAGGAAGATGACAAAATCAGGAGAAAGATGCTGTTTTGCACTATCTTGATTTGTTACAGCAGCCAACTTATTGGCATGATGGAGTGACAGGAAAAACAGCTGGCATGGAAGGTAGGATTATTAAAGCTATTACATCATTATGAATAAAATTAGAAGCTGACCATGACAAAGCATATGTTTGAACAAGCAGCTGTTAGTAGCTGAGGTTTGTTGCTGAGCTCTCCAAACTCTGCAAACAGTGTTGCTTTTACAGAATGGATTTTAAAATTACCTTGTGCTGCGTTAGATTTTTGGGGGGTGTGCTTGCCTCCAATCTCAGGGAAACACTTCTAAGACAGAAATCAGTGTTAGAAGATTTTAAAATAAAGTCTTTTTCAAGACTCTGGGTTGCTCCAGGTATTTAATGGGAGGGGGAGGCAAATCTATGGGGAAATCTCCCCCAGCTCAGTTTGATTCAATTTAGTTGCAAGGACTGATTGATATATTGGCATATTAAGACATTGGGAGAAATGAGAATGTATAGAATGTTTGGATAGGTTGGAAATTGTTACTCTTGGTTTCTATTTTAGAAGGAGTTTGGCTGTCAGTCTTTTCTCCTCATCAATTCCTAGCTTTTGACATTTATTCAGTCATTCTGCATTATATGAAGAAAATACATCAATATCTCCTGCAGGGTTTTTCAACAACTCCAGCATCTGTTTCAGCTATTGAACTGTATTCATGTTTTGCCAAGTTGATGTCGACCCAGCTGGTCTATCATTTCTCGCTTGATTACTGCTCTTAATTTCTCTGTATCAGCTTGTCTCAGATAGGGCTTTGAACGTTGTTAATGAAAAATGACAGAAAATGATAAATTATTGAAAATTGGTGTATTTATTTATTTCATTATGCTGGAACCCTGATGAGTTTGCTTTTACATTCTTTCTTGCCTGCGTACAATTTTTAGAACATTTTTTTCTCTTTTGGTAATATCTCTTTCCCTACAATCAGTGGGTTGTACTTATAAGTACTTTTAAACAAATGGAGTGTGAGCCTGGACTGTATTAAGCTCCAAAAATAAAGTTTTTTGAGCAAGGGGAACAATTTCAGCTTTTTATAGAAACTATGCATCTTTTCCATATTCTGTCTTCATACGTTATCATGAGGATCTGTCAGTAAGTATTTATTGGACCTAAAATATTGAAATATTTTTATCACCACTAGGGTAACAAGAAAATAAAACATTTAAAGCTGTTTTTTAACACGTGATTGTTGAAAACAGATGTCTAATAATATAGAAATAGATTTTCCTGAATATGAAAAACATGATTGTTCACTATAAAATTCAGAATCTTTCAGTTCTCATTCTTTCCAACAGCCTGAGTAACTAAACCATTTAAGTTAATAGACTATCATATATGAACATTTAATATGTCCATGTTAGTTAGTCACATGTGTGCCTATCTGTGCTCTGCCTTTTCCTGTATTAATTGCACAATTCCAGTTGGTCTGGTCAGGGAACACTACTGGCTGTTATATAACTTTTTTCCTCCCCTTAAATGTCAGTCCATGCTTTTTTTTTTTCCTTCCCAATTATGTATCCTCTTAGAGTGAATTAAAACAACATGTGTTTAAATATTAGTGCATCAAGTACAAACTGGTGGGCTAATTATATTAATTGAATTCATGTAAATTACTTACTAACTTGATGTTTTGAAAATTGTCAAGGATTTGGATGAGTACTTTTTAACCTTGAAGCATTCATGACTTTAGTTGAATATAATTCATAATTCATACATACAGAAGGGTAGAAACTAGGTGTCTAAAGGTGTAGTTTCAGCTGCAAACCTATTTTTAATTATGGGGTTGGAACAATCTGATTATTTACTAATAAGACTTTTGAATACTCTCTATGATTTTGCACAGTCTGTTACAGTATTTGGTTAAGCTCAAAGTCTGAAAGAATTTTGTATCCAAATGATACTAGGTTATTTCTAGATTGGTTATGAAAAAAAAGCTATATTCATAATATTATTCATGTAAAATATGGTTCACTTCTGCCAATTTTCTTTCTCAACTTTTCACAACCGTTTTAAGTGACAATTCAAGTCTGGAAAAACTCTTTCACATTGCATGTTTAATAGGATTCTCCTTTTGTGAATTGTCTCCTGTGAGAAAAAATGTCAGCTTCCTGCTAGCCTCATGCTCCTATTACCATCATTACCTTAAAAAGGTTTTTCTTTCAATGAAGATAGTGTAATTCAAATCATCCCCTGTACTCTCCAAACTGGTTTTGTGTTTGCCAGTTTGTAGTTTAGGTTTTTGCTTCGTTTGTGACTAAGAAGTGCTCTGGGGTTGATTGCACTGAAGAATGGAAAGGACAGACACTAGGTGGCACCAGCTGTTGATTATTAATGAAATCTTAAAGGCTTTGGGCCACACACCTGAAAAGCAGGAATATCCTTGCTAGTAGATGCATTTTAAGAGTTGGAAATGCTTGCCAGTCTTTCTGGTTCTGGAACATGATTAGTGTGCAAAGTGAGGATACCATGTGTAGTCTCCAAATCTCTATTGCTTAATTCCCTGTTTTGTGAAAGGATTCAGAAAAGGAAAAAAAAAAAAATGGAGAAATGCATAAAAATAGAGTGTGTGAGTGAGACATGGGACAAAAGGAAATGGACTATGCACGTTTAAATATTTTTTTCACATTTGAAATTGGAAATTTATAAAAATCTCTGGATTACTTCAATTTTCTAAAAACCCAGATTGAACTCCCATAAGGCATTATACTATAAAAGTAACTACTTGTCTCTTTTAGGTAAAAGGTCTTATTGAGCATCATTTTTTGAAAAAAATTGTGGTGAAAAGGTACATAACAAAATATATCATTTCAACAATTTCTACATGTACAATTTAATAACATTTACTCCATTCTTCAAGTTATGCAACCATTCTCAATATCCATTTCAAATCATTCCACCTCAACTTACATAAACTCAATGCCCTCTAAATAAAAAGTTCCCTTTCCCCACATCTCATCCACCTTCAGTAACCACTAATAATCCTTGGTTTATATAGATTTGTTTATTCCATGTAAGTGAGATCATACAATATTTGTCCTCTTGTGACTGACTTATTTTTATCAGCATGATGTTTTCAAGGTTCATCCGTGTTGTGAACTTGATTTTTCTTTATGACTGAGTAGTAGAGCACCATTGTTTTTTTTTTTTTTTTTTTAATTCAAAAAATCTCTTTGTTCTCATTTCCTGACAACATGTTCAGGTGAAAATTCTCACACTTGATGGAGTAACCTACCTTCACGTGTGTTGTCCTTAAGCAAGATAAATGGGGGAAATACTATCAGTTAAGAAGTATACTTTGAAATATTTTTCTTGAGAAGCTTGCTCCATCCTCATGCCATCCACCATGGAACAAGGAAAAGGCAAATAAAAAGAAACCACATGAGCACATATACACCTTGGAAAAAAATCCAAATTGCTTTAAGAGAGAGAGCCACAACAATATTTTCCATTGTTCCTGAAGTTAAATGAAGAAAGGAATATTCATAATTAGGGTGGGGAGAATAAATAACTGCTCAGAGCAGGAAATATTTTCCCAAGATCCCATGGAAAAGAATGTGAAATTGCTCTTTACCCTGAATATAGTATGGAATTTGATGAAGAGTTTTATGTCTTTATGGACAAGATGAACAAATGTTTGTCATTTGATATAAGAGTCTGATAGGTTAATTAACTCACTAAACTATTCTGCCTTTAGCTTGCCAATTACTGAATCATTGTAAACCAGGAATGGGGACTCTGACAGGACTAATTCTAGCCAACTGAAGCAGTATGACCCACACATCTTCTTGAGTAGTGTGCCCTAGGATTTTGTCCTTGGTCCCACTTGCTCTGTCAAATATGAATAACAAAAGCTTGAAGGAAGAGCCAAATAGCTCATCTAACCAGGGAAGGGGAACAAACATATGGAATTATTAGTATTCTGAAGGAACTTGACCACCTAAAAATATGGTGATGCCGAAGAGGTAAAATTTCAAGAGGAATAAGTATAATATCCCACATTAAGCTTCAAAAAATAAATTTGACAAGTAGGAGAGAGAGTACTTCAACTCAGTGAGAGTGTTAAAGCTTAGCAAAAATTTACTGACAAACATTGATTCTGTTGACTAATCTCAGTATCAGCAACAGTATCATCAAAAAAGAAAAGAAAATGTAATGCTGTCAGAAATGGAACTGGAAAAATATCAAGTGTTAGTTAGAAATATAGATAGATGCACACACAGATATGTGTGTGTGTGTGTGTGTGTGTTTGTGTGTATAGACACCATGGTCTGAAAGGAACTTTAATATCTGGAAAGGTAGTCAGTGAAAAGTGCCAGGATGATGAAAGGTCCTAGAAATAATATCATTTGAGGGATGCTGAAAGTATTAGAAAAGTAAAAAGTTAAAAAATACTTGAAGAATAAGAAAAGAGAACAATTGAACTTATTTTGAATATTAGATGAACTATAATGTAGAAGAGGGATTAGATTCATTTGCACCTGTCTGCAAGGAAAGGAAACATATCCTTTAAATTTGTTGTATAAGCAACTTTCATTCATTGACTGTTTTGTGAGATAGTGTACTCCTTGCTCCTGAAGTGTTCTGTGCTAGGAGTGGAGTTCCTGTGCTAAGGGGAAGTTGAAGGACATGTGTGAAATTTTTACTAACTTTAAGAATTGCTGAGTCTATTCATTTCATGAAAGAATACCCCCCATTTTAGACATTTTAGACATTTTTTGAATGTCTCTACTACTCCATTTGAGCACTCTAGGCAAATATGGGCACCATGTTCAACTAGCAAGCTAAGAATGATTTTTTGCATTTCTAAATGTTACAATCATTAAAAAAAGATTAATATTATTTTGTGACATAGGAAAATCATACAAAATTCTCATTTAAATGTCCATAAATAAAATTTACTGAAAGACAAGATTCTCCCATATGTTTATGTAATGTCTATGGCTGCTAAAAAGGTGGAGTTACATAGTTGTAACAAAGACCTGACAACACTTGTAAAATCAAAGTGATTTACTAGTAAGTCTTTGACAGTAAAAGTGTGCTAGTCTCATT